CGCTCATCCCATGTTGAATAAGAGCAGTCAGATCTGTTGCTGCACTCCTGAGGGGCTCTAGAGCATTTGTTTTAAGACTGTGTTAGAAAAGGATTTCTATTTTTGTTACTGAAGAGTCAATTTTTAGCTTGACTCTTCAGTGGAGTGTGTTGTGCCCATATTTGAAACACTGGCTTTGTGAGCACCAGCACAACCTGAAGGACTGCCGGAAGGGCCTTATGTAAACAGGTCTGATTTCCCTCATTCTGAGCTTGAACAGACCAGATGCAAGCCTGTTTCAATCTTTACATCTTATAGGCATGCTAGTGCAGGACTGAAGTGAACCTCATAAACCCTATTGTGAGCAGACAGATCAAGTCTTCCAAAACATTTGTTCCTTGATTGCTTTCATGTGGGTTTGCTGGATTTAAATTAACCTAAAAAGTCTTTCAAGCAGCATGCTTTGTGTGTATATGGGTCATTCCAGTTTTCTCTTTATACAACTGACTGGAGGAGTGTTTCAAGTATGAGGTCCAGGGCAAATTCTCACAAAACAGAGCAGCTTCAGCTGTCGTCATCTTTCAGATAAATGTGAATTGATGTAGCGGTTGCCCACAATGGGGTGCTTCACCTAGTGGCTCCTATTGTGTTGCTGTAATAGGGCAGCGAGTATTGCTGGGGGGAACAGATCTTAGTATAGATCTTGCCTTGCTTTTCCTCATCTGTTGGGCTCTGCTACTGCTACTTTAGAGGAATTTGTTACTCTCCCTGTTGGAGACATCCAGCTGTGACTCAAACCCAGTGACCTGGGGATGTTCAGCATGAGCTGATTATGCTTAAGAAGGACTTTGAAACCAGGGCACCAGGATACTTGAAAGGGTACTAGAGAGGGTTTATGCCACTGGACACATTTGTCCTTCCCTGAGGTCTGTGGCTATTCAGACTGTGCTCAGGCTAAGGGCTTTTTTTGAACTGTGAGAGCTGGAACTAGGACAAATTAAACACACATCTTAATCAACTACCACTTTGTGAATTCAGTTGGGAATGAGACTTAATAATCTCGCACTTAAAATATGGCCTTCACTCCTATGATGTCCTGTGCAGAGAAAGAACATTTTGCCTAAGTTCCCAGAATACTAAGGTGGTTTGGACACTGGGGTATACTGTAAGTGGACTTGAGTCCTACTCATAGCTGTTTGCCTCCACTTGAATCACTTCATCAGTGAGCTGCAGTGAGACCCAAATAGATGAATAATTATATGCTGTAGATTGTGAATGATGGATTCCTTTAGAGTACTTGTTGTAAGAGAATTGAATTGAGAATTCATCTTGGAGTAATCTTGTTGGACAGCTCTGCATTGCATGAAACATTTGTCTCATACCTTCTGGCCTTGTCTGTATGATTGTGAGTGAATAATGCAGCTTCATAACATAGTTCCTGTCCCTTTCCTCCCTGTATGTCATCCCAAGTCTTGGGAGTATTTTCTGCTACACAAAACAGCTTCTCAAGACAAGGTGGTCCTACACAGGAGAACTTTGTGGCTAAAAAACCCTTCAGGAGTGTGGGAGAGATGTGGCGGAGAACAAAATTGAACCTATGTTTTACGAAGCCTGACAGATGTTCTTACTGCTAGGTTACCGAGTAAAAGGGGCAGCTGAGGAGTGAGAACTGCTCATATGCCGATAAAGCATCAACAGAGTTTTAGGTTACTGGCTTCCTGCAGCAAGTAGGAAACTGAGCAGAGAACAGAGTGTTAATTCAATTTCTGCTGTGTTCAGAGGCATAGTGATCTGCATGTGACCTTGTGCAAAGGATTATTGGTGTATCTGCCACTGAATTTCTGACAGCATGTCGCTGACAACTGCAGATAGACTCCTTGCCTTTTTTTTTTTTTATTATTGTGTAGCTGAAGCTGATGGCAGCAACATCACTTAATGCTGACCATTTGTTTTAGGTATATTTCTTCTGGTTGTACTGCCTCATAAATGTCACTCATTCTGTACACGGTCTTTACTTGATTTAATGTGGATTTTGTAGATCTCAGTGTACGTTAATTTGTTGGTAATAAGCATCTAGTTACATCTTTGTCTTTTTTTTATTTATTTTATTTTAAAAGTGAGTTACAAGTTAAGTATGTCCAGTTGTTAAGGTCATTGGTGTTAACAGCTAATATGCAACATTTACTGAAATCGAACATAGTAACTTAGCTAGTTAGACCAGATATATTCACTTACCCTATAATAATAAATACTGTAATAACTTAAAATTAATTTTCTTTCAAACCTTCTTGTGATCATCTATTTCACCTTGGCCAGTGGATGTTTTACTCTTAACTGCAGCAACAAACTACCTACAATTAGTGGTAAAACAATGTGGGAAACTCCTTGGACTTCTTTGCATGGGGTTGAGGTTCCAGTTGGGGTACTCAGCCGGCAGAATTTCCCTTTGAAGCTCACAGGAAGGCAGCTAGCAGCCTGGTACAGAGCCGTGGAAAGCCCTTTGTAGCCCAGCTACCACTGGAGTTAGCTAATTAAAGATGACAAACAGGCTGGGAGCCAATTCCGACTTTGCTTTGTTTTGAATTTTTCTTTATTTCAGTTTGACCGAGCAAGAAGTTCGTTGAATAGGTTTTGTGGATGTTGTTTAGTGGGAATATGAAGAGGTTTTTTACCTACCAATATTACTTATTTTTTTAAGAAGTTTGCACTTTGAGCAGCTTTGTCTATTACCTTCTGATGCTCAGTCCAAGAAGACTTGTTTGGCAGGTAAAGAGGAAAGTCAACCAACAGCATATGTTATCATATACTTGTATGCATGTGTCACCTTTGTAGCATTCAGACAGCTGGAGCAGGCTAACAGTCTTTGGGAGTCCCAAATAATACCTGGTGGTTCTTGGCTCTGGGTTTTTTCCAAAACTCCAGGAATTCTCCTACAGGGCAGTCCATGGCACTGGCAGCACTTTGGGAAGTGGGTGGAAAGTTAGACAGGGAAATCAGTGTTTCTGAATTTGACTGTTTCAGGAAAAAGTCTTTTATTTCCTCTGAGGAGACAGCTGCAGCAAATGCTTCAGAATCTTTTAGATGTCCGTATAGACTGCAAAATCCACTATCTAAAACTTAACATATTTTAAATACTTTAGAGTGCCTTTGAACTCCTCTATGGAATATTGCATCTCCCAACAGCAAGCCACAAATGTCCTCAAATATGGTATGCATTTTGCTTGGAGAAATGTGAAATAAAGGTAATAGTGAAAGGATTTTTAAAAACAAAAAAACTTTGTGAGGAATCATAACTGCTCACACTTAAGACAGACAGAAGGGCACTGGGAGTGAGCAGCACTGAGATTAGGTTAGACAGTTTTTCTCTCCGAATAGTTTTATTTTCAGCAACAGCCTTCCAACCTTCACTAGATGAGGTATGTAACCCTGAAGTTAAATGGCAGGTTTCCTAGCAGTAGGACTGACCTAATGAGAAAACTGTTGCCCAAATAAAACCTTCCTTCATATTGTTATCCTTGCTATTTCTTCCATGTGCACAATCTGAAGATTTCTACCAGCAAAATTAACATTTTTGTCTCCAAAATATTTTCAGCATGAAAGCTAAAAGCCATGTAGCTAGCATGAATGAATTCTTGAAGGAATTGGTATTTGTATCGTATGAATTGAATAAATTAATCTCTGCAGTGTTGAAGAGGTTACAGGGTAAGAGAGTTTCTGTTCAGTTGAAGTGTCACACTTTAAATCTTAGTGATGTTCTTATACTCTCCTGTACTCAACTTGTCAGAGAGCTATATGTGTATGACACAACTTTCTTTCTAAATACTTGCAAAAGCAGCTTTGAAGAGGGAGGTTTGGATTAACTTTCTTATACATAGGAGCATTTTCAGTTTTGAAGCCATTCTGTTGATGTCTGATCATGCTTCAGTGCCTGTTAACTGTGAGCTAATAGTTTTGCCGGTGGACAGAGGGTCGTAAGTGTTGTAAAATACATAATAGAAGAAGACCCATGCTGTAGTATTGCCTCACACTAAGGAAGCTAAATCTTATCCCGCTATAAGCTTTATGAATAGCACTTCACTGGTGTTTCTCAAGCATGTTTGTGTATTCTTTCTAACCCTTTGAGGAAAAAAAAAAACAACAAATGAAACAGGAATTCCTCTAAAAATTTACACTGCATGAGGTTTTGATTTTATTTCCTCATACTTCCATTGATTCTTCTTTACTAAGCCAGTAATGGGTCCAAAAGACAGGAAGATGCTCTGTATGTCTTTTTTTACTGGGGAAGAGAGAAGGACTTAGAGGAAGAGGAGAGAATGATTCTGTATTAAATCTCCTGTTTTTTTCTCTCTTATTTCCCATGGCATCTTTATCCTAGCTTCTAATTTGCCTCTATCTGAAAAGAAAAGCTAGAAGCCTAACAATTATTTAATGTGTACTTGGGAAAATGTAGAATCATCTTTATTAAGGGAATTCTTTGGAAGTGGATGTAAATTGTGGATATACGCCTGTATCCATCCTATCTGTCCGACAAAAATGCTCTCCCTAAAACCATGTGCTAGAATCTGCTAAGTGAATTTCCAGGTCATTGTGGATGATGCTTTTTCTCAAATCTGTATTTGATGTGCCGCATGCTAAAGTCACTTGTTCAAGGCTTAATAAAATTTCTTATTATCATTGTCCTGGTGCCTAGTAACAAGTGAACTTCCCTGCAGTAGGCATGAGAATTGTCCTCTCTCTCCTCCACTGCCCTGCTAGTTTTCATGAAACTTAAAAAATTACTTATCCTTGATATCTTGTTTTTTCCTGTCACATTTAGGTGAAATTAGAGACTATTTTCAGAGGGCTGATGGGACGGTGGGAAAAGCAGGCAGATGAGCACAGTGCTTGATAACAAGCTGTAGACCAGACCAAAATTTTGCTTCAGCTTCTGTTGTTGTGAACAGGGTGTAGTGGTTTGGCAGTACTATAAAAAATCATAGGTTGTACTGTATCTTACAGTTAATCTCTTGTACTTTTTGCAGGTGGAGATTTACATTTTACCTCTATATATTTACCTATGGAGTACGGTTCCTGAAAAAGGTATGCATTTATATTACTGTGCTTTCGTAAGACATCAAAAATTTGTATATAATATAAACTTGTATATAATATAAAGCACAAGCATAATACTCATGTTCACAAAGAATAAAAGATAAAATTTAATTTGCATTTGTAAAATGAATTGCTACTGGCATTGGTGAAGAAGTTCTTATCAATACTTAATGGAGTAAAAACTCCCACAACTGGTGTAGCAACATGCCTAGGTTACTTTAGTACTTTTAATTCTGAGCATTAAGCTGGCAGTAAGGTTTACCACAATATTAATCTCAATTTCTGTATCATCCTTTATAAATGTCTGTGGCAGAGGTTCCTTTTCATTAAAAAACAAAATCCATTAATGTTTCAGAAAATGCTTTCCATTTGCCTGTTCTTTATCTGACATACTGTGGAAAGAAGTTTCCATGGAGTTTCCCATCAATGCTGTGTTTCTGGTGATATAAGCAGAGAAGGGTGTTGATAGCTTCTAAACACACTGGTGTAGATCTGTTAATCCTGCCACAGGTGGTAATTTGTATTTATGGTGCAAATGATTTTTTACAGTGTGACTAGTTCTCAGAGCTTTTGTGCAAGTGAGTCCCTATTTGTATAATTCTGAGAGGTGAAATTAGGGGAATGTGTGGTCTCAGTGTGCTCACGTAATCTTACAATCTTCGTTTTGGACATGAAATAGACACAGAAAATGTATCCTGAATGTTTCTGGTACTTTGTAAGCAAAAATAGTATTAAAAAAATCCTCATCATTTTTATGATTGTAATTAATGAGGCTGTCCAAAGCGCCAGGCAGGTTGGTGACAGTAGGAATGATGATATGCCAGTCCAAAAAGCGCACATCAGAGCCTTCTCAGCTATTTAGCGGCAGTAAGACCCAGGGGAAGTGAGTGCACAAGTCCTCCAAATAGACCAGCCAATACGTAATGTGCAACCTCTCACAGCCTTTTTGAACATTTACAATTTGTGTGTGCTTCATCCATTAACGTGCTGTATGGTCATGGTACTCTGTTTTCTGCCTTCGATTCCATCCATGTTTGTGGTAGGAAATATGAGAATAGTTTTCATAAGCAATTGTCACAACCTAAATTGTTGGCCTGTGGGTGTGTAGAGAGCATGACTGTGGGTTCATAGGGTTCTGTAATACACAAGGACACTGAATCTTTGTCTTCTGAATTTCTTTACTTTATTACAGATTACCACAAATAGTCACCATTGATACGTTAGCAAGTATCACAAAATCACTGCTACAAAGCATACTTATGATTAAAAAAGCAAATCTCTCTCAACACAAAGAAAATGTCTGTTCTAGGAAAAACTCTGTGAATACCAGCATTTCTAAAGATTAAGAAGAATACAGTACATGCATGCTTCATTACAAACCATTGTGAGCTGTTTCTAAAGGCTGAGCTGACATGCAAAGTGCAGGGTGTCTTCCTCCCAGTTCAACTGAAGTTTGAGGAGGGCTGGCTGATATAGCATGGTTGCTTGAACAAGGTATGCCTATACTGTTACTTGCTTAACAAGGATCAGCTGTGCAATTTTAACTTTCAGTATGTTTAATTTTTACAAAAAGAACTTATTCATTATGTAATAGTGTATGTATTGTGAATTACTCATTTTTACAGTGTTGCAAATGAGTCTGCAGCATTTTATGCTATTGTCATTATTCCAGTGTTCTGCTTTGTATACTCGGGTCATTCACATGGAATGTATGCAAATCAACAAAATTATAAGTGTGATTGTATTTGTATTTACACCATCTCCCTAGCAACATTGTGTAACTAAGAGAAAGTGCAGGCTTTTTGCTGTTTATCAACAACCAAATATTTTGCTGCATCCACTTGCGGCGGGAAATATGGGTTTGGAAGGAATAAAATCTAGACCCCAGAATCTGGAGGAGTTGCTTCTTTCAGAACTTCACTACAGTACCAAAATGGATAATGTTTTTTAGTTTGTCTTGGTCTTCTTAATGGAATAATTTCAAAGAAACACTTAATTGCTTCCTTAGGAAGCTCATGGGAAAAAAAGTTAAACATAATAAATTTTCTTACAAATTTTATAGAAAGATCTTTGCTTCAAAAAGCTGTTTTTCCTGGAGAGAATGTCAGTGGTGTCATGCTGTGCTAATGCTACAGTAGAAATTTGCACCCTTTGAAATAAAAGTTCTGCTTAAGACCATCCCTAATATACCTAGTCTAGAAGACTGATAAGCATGGTGAGTAAGCCCAGGTGCAGTGGCTGTCCCAGCACTATCATAGCAACATATGCTGCCTCACTGGGAGAGGATGAGAAAGAGTAAATACTACAGAAGTTCCTGTTTTGAAGAATGGAATATGCCGCCAGCATAGCACCACATTCACATTGGCTTTTAAAACCTAAACTAATGCTTAGTTGATACATAACTTTGGATTGTTGGATAAAGTATTGTGATGCAGTATGTCTTTCAAACATCCATAAGATTATATTTTTTCGAGAGAAACTGCATTTTGGTGCTATTCAAATGGACAGAATCACTGGATGGTGGTTGGTTTGTTCATTTCTGGATAGTTAAGATGCCTGATTTAAGAAATCTGGTTTTGCCATCTTGAGTGGGAAGTGCTCCTTATTAGTTGGTCTTATGACTTCTACTCTTAGTACTGCTTTTAGAAAAGTGAACCAACTCAATAGTACAAAAGGCTCTTCTAAAACACTACACTACCTGCATTGCCTCTTTTACAGTTTCTTTGTTGGCTCTTGAATTGGCAGGCAACAATATACTCTGACTTCTGTATTGTTGTCCTTCCCCCCCAACTTGACCTAGTCTCCTTGCAACCTGCTGTTCCTTTGCTTTGCTGCATATATTCCTAACCTGATGGATACTTTGATTACATTTGGCTCTTTTAAATGTTCCTTCTTTTAATTTAAGGATGAAATTTAGCTTTACCTACAAGACTGGCATGGGGCCTATAAATTACTTAATCATCACTTTGAGTTAGTTTTGAGGTCCTTTGCTTTGCGCTGGCCCTTTGCCTAGAGATGAATTTCACCTTTTGGATTCTTTCTCAAAATGCTTTTCTCATAATGGCCACAGCACATAAATAATTGCTCCTTTATCTTCTAATGTCACCTTCTGTATTTGCTGCATAAAGCAGTATTACTGCATCAGTGCAGTATCAGAAGTGTGGGTGTCTGTGTTTCCTTGTTCACATCTAACTGCCTAAGGAATATCTAGTCAGGATATTCTGGCAAACCACCATTCTTGCAGAGAATATCATTAGGTTTTTATGGCTTTGTAGATCTTGACAAGCTTATCTAGCTTTTTGGGAAGATGTGCCCAAGCTTAATAAGCAGTAATTAGTTAGCAGATTTATCAACTCTCTTTTAGTTGTTGAATTGTGATACTGTCAGCATGGTATACATACCAATGTTAATTTATTTTTAGAATGGTAGTAACTAACTGCAGTAAAGTTTTACATTTGCCTGCCTAGAACATCTTGCAAGATGTTTCAGCTTTGATTTTCACTTTCCTATAGAACCATATGAAAGCTAATAAAGCTGTCATTCAAAGCAAACATAGCTCTCTCTAAAATGCCATGGCAAACTTGTCTTTGGTACCATCCATGGCAGCAGTTAATGGCTGATCTAGATAAAGAAATTTCTTCGCTCACTAAAGCAACCTGTAAGCCTTTGTAGTAACACTGCACGTGATGTAATCTGTCAATTCTTTTGCCATGCTATAGTTGCTGAGTACATTGCTGGAGATGTAAAAACTTTCTTCTCACTGAAAGCTGTATCTCTTTATCAAACTGTTCTCTTGGGTTTTGTCTTTTTTCCCAGTAACAGATATATTCTCTTGATTCATAAATAAAGTATCAAAAAAATAAATTCTTACTTTTGTTGAAATGTATTTTCAAAAAAAATCTCAATTCGCAGGGAGAAGTGCCTGACATAAAGCTTTGTCTTCAAAGTTTGTTCTGTTGCAACAGAACCTGTCAATCTGTATGTTTTAAATACATTTTTATCTTAATGGTGTCTGCAGGACACTTAGATTGGGCCATTTGCTCACTAAAGTTCACCATGAACTCCTGAAAGCCCTTTAAGTTGGGAAGGCAGAGGATTGGCAATAGGGTGTCCTGCATGTGTCTGTAGTTGTAGGCCATGGAATCGTGATCACTGACATTGCATATGATGTTTTTATCAATGTAAAGTGCTCAAAAAATTGTGCTTCCACCCTCTCTCCCTTCCTCTATCCATATGGACATCTGCTTCCCACAGCCTCTGGATCGTAACAGCTGCTTCATACACTCTCTCCTGCATCTTGCCAACTCCACCACTGAACTCTCGAGGCAGCAGACCGGTATAGAGTTTGTGCTGGTCTTGTCCTCAGTGCCCCCTAACTCAAATGGGTGTATGTTGTCAACTTGGTCTTTGTTGTGACATCATGTCACTCATGAAGTGACATTGTAAGAATTAATTTCTTTCTCATAAAATGTACTGTTGATGGCATACACCATATCCCGCTGCTTTGATTGTTTCTTGGGCCTAAAGAAACAGTAAAAGTGAAACTTTTACCATTAGTGTCTACCACCTTCAGTCAAGAGGTGATTTTTAACTGCAGGATGCAGCTGTGTCATTGGTATGTTTTACAAATGTTTGTAGTATCAAGGAAATACATGTTTCTTCCAAGTATTACTCTCTTCCAAGAGAGAACTAAGTCTGGTAAGAGAGTAGGGAATGCAAGACAGTTGCTCTCTTACTCAAAAAATGGAGCACACATAGAGAAATAGCTCACAGCCTTCCAGATACTCAGCCAAACCATTGCATCACTTACAAACTGTATCTTAATATGTGAGTATAAGAAACCAACAGACTTCAGTAAAATGTTTTCCATATTTATTAGTATTTAATTATTGTGTTAGACATTTTTCCCTTCCCCAGCTGTCAGCCTTTTTTTTTTTTTCTCCTTTGCATCAAAATAAGTAAATCAATATTACATAGCTGGTTTACTC